TGATGTCAGGGAAATTATTGCCTGTGCTCTTTTGTAGGATTTTTATGGTTTCAAGTCTTACATTTAGGTCTTTAATCCATTTTTAATTTATTTTTGTGTATGGTATAAGAAAGTGGTCCAGTTTTGGGCACCTGGGTGGCTCAGTCTTTAAGCGTCTGCCTTTGGCTCAAGTCATGATCCCAGGGTCCTGCGATCGAGCCCCACATCGGGCTCCCTGCTCAGTGGGGAGTCTGCTTCTCCCTCTCCCACTCCCCCTGCTTGTGTTCCTGCTCTTGCTGTTTCTGTCTCTGTAAAATAAATAAATAAAATCTTTAAAAAAAAAGAAAGAAAGTGGTCCAGTTTCATTCTTTTTCATGTTCCTGTCTGGTTTTCCCAGCACCATTTGTTGAAGAGACATGCTTTTTCCCATCGCATATTCTTTGCTGCTTTGTGGAAGATCAATTGACCATAAAATTGTGGCTTTATTTCTGGATTTTCTGTCCTGTTCTATTGATCTATGTGTCTATTTTTGTGCCAGTACCATACTCCTTTGATTACTACAGCTTTGTAATATAAGTTGATGTCCAGAATTGTGATGCCTCCAGCTTTGTTTTTCTTTTTCAAGATTGCTTTGGCTATTCTGGGTCTTTTGTGGTTTCCTGCAAATTTTAGGATTGTTTGTTCTAGTTCTGTGAAAAATGCTGTTGGTATTTTGGTAGGGATTGCATTAAATGTGTAAACTGCTTTGGGTAGTATCACCATTTTAACAATATTTGTTCTTCCAATCCATGAGCAAGGAATGTCTTTCCATTTCTTTGCAGACACTCTTTATATTTTAAAATTGCTTTGATTTAGAAAATCAAATGATGTTGGGGCGCCTGGGTGGCTCAGTCCATTAAGCATCTGCCTTCTGCTCAGGTCATGATCCCAGAGTCCTGGGATCGAACCCCTCATCAGGCTCCCTGCTTGGCAGGAGGCCTGCCTCTCCCTCTCCCACTCCCCCTGCTTGTGTTCCCTCTCTCACTATGTCTCTCTCTGTCAAATAAATAAATAAAATCTTAAAAAAAAAAGAAAAGAAAAGAAAATAATGTTATTTCATGATCAGTGTTTCACGATTAAACTTCTATTTTAGGGGCGCCTGGGTGGCTCAGTCGGTTAAGCGACTGCCTTCGGCTCAGGTCATGATCCTGGAGTTCCAGGATCGAGCCCCACATTGGGCTCCCTGCTCAGCGGGGAGTCTGCTTCTCCCTCTGACCCTTCCCCCTCTCATGTTCTCCCATTCTCTCTCTCTCTCTCTCAAACAAATAAAATCTTAAAAAAAAAACCACTTCTATTTTGACTATCGTGCCAAGTTATTTTTAAGTGATACTTAGTTTTCATTAAATGAATTTGTTAACAACTTATAGAATTACAATCTATAATTCATGTTGATATTTTGTTTGATGTTTTATGATATAAACTTTCATATTTTGAAATGTATTTCAATATGTAGTTTGATTCTTTAAAAAGATATTTGAATTCCTGACAGTTTATAAAAATCTTGTCTTAGCGTTCAGCCCATATATATTTTTTTCCCTTTTTAAAAATGTTTTATTTCATAAGGGACTGGCTTATGCAATTGTGGGGGCTGACAAGGCAAATCCAAAGTCCACAGCAGGGCAGGCAGTGGGAGGGAAGGTCTCAAGCAGCCTGGAGCTCCACAGATGCAGGTGAAAGCTTGTTCCCGGGTACTCAGGAAGGAGGATCTAGAGGAGATAGACAACAATTGCACGAATCATTGGGAAAGACTGTGTGTATGCCACCAAATGGCCGCTGCCTTCCTTCCATCCTCTGCCTTCATGCGAGAATACTGCTTGTAGCCCACACTAGTTAGGATCACACTAAAAAAGGAATTCTGGGGTCTGTAGGTAAGCCTCGCTGAGCTGCCACATGACATACTCATCACACTTGTGTGAGTTCACACTGGTAGACAATGCCGTGATACTATCTTCATCATCTCACCTTATTCTGTACATCATTGCCAATTTCTGACCCTGAGCTTCCTGCATGTGCCTCCTGCGGGCTGTCTCCCTTCCCTCCATCCAGCTTAGTGCTTTTTGTCCTCGCAAAGCCGGTATCGGCATGTATCCTGGCCTTCTCGGGCCATTTAAGGCCCAGCTGGTCCCATCTGTTCAGACACCTCTATCTCACAGCCCCGAAGTGCAAGCCTCTCCACAACAAGGCAACGATCTGCTCTTTCAGGGGTGGAATTCACCCCTACTCACAAATGTTTCAACCACTTTGCTGGTGACTTTATTTACATCAAGGCCTTCACATTCCCTTGCTGCCTATGGCCTAGAATTGCTGAATTTCGCCCTTCTGGGAGCCCTGGGAGTGTAAAAAGCCTTGTGTATTCTGCATTTGTAGTTTGCACATTGTGTGCATGTAAATATTTTACCAGAGTGTAAACAAGGCACGGGCTTGCTGTCTTATTCACTGCTGTTTCCTGTGTCCACAGGGCCTGGCATACAGTGGGCACTCAATAAATAGGTATCGAATGAGTACAGTATACCTGCACATTTCTGTACACGGATGTGTGTAAAATGTGTAAATCTGTGTGTGTGTGTGCATGTGTGTGTGTGTGTGTGTGTCCGTGTGCGTGAAGAAAAATACTTGAGTAGACCCAAAAGAGCCATGAGGGACTATTTTATTTTGTTTTTACATATTTTTTAAGATTTTTATTTATTTATTTGACACAGAGAGAGAGAGAGAGAGCACAGCAGGGGGAAGTGGCAGAGGGAGAAGCAGACTCCCTGTTGAGCAGGGAGCCCGATGTGGGACTCGATCCCAGGACCCTGGGATCATGACCTGAGCCAAAGGCAGACGCTTAACAAACCAAGCCACACAGTCGCCCCTATTTTGTTTTTATTTTTTAATTTTTTTTTTTAAGATTTTATTTATTTAATTGACACAGAGAGAGACAGAGAGAGACAGAGAGAGAGGGAACACAAGCAGGGGAAGTGGGAGAGGGAGAAGCAGGCTTCCCGCCGAGCAGGGAGCCCGATGCGGGGCTCGATCCCAGGACCCTGGGATCATGACCTGAGCCGAAGGCAGTTGCCCAACCAACCGAGCCACCCAGGCGCCCCCCCATTTTGTTTTTAAAGATTTTATTTATTTGTTTATTTTGAGAGCAAGAGAGAAACAGAGAGAGAGAGGGAGGAGAGAGAGGGATAAGCAGACTCCAGGCTGAGCACTGGGGCCTCACTCAGGCCTGATCCCACGACCTTGACCTTGAGACCAGGACCTGAGCCGAAACCAAGAGCGGGATGCTCAACCAACCAAGCCACCTACGAACTATTTTAATGAATTCTAGCTATGAGTGTAGAATCCATTCAGAGAAACATTTGGAAAATCACCATTTGTGCAGAATGAAAGAAAGTACGTGGATACCGTCTGTAGTGGGTTGAATGGTGGCCCCCCAAGAGATATGTGCTAACCCCCAAAACCTATGAAGGTGACCTGATTTGGAAAAAGATGTAGTCAAGTTAAGGATCTACTATGAGATTATCCTGGATTATCCGGGTGTCTGCAGGATCTTGCCTGAAATCCAAGTTTTCTGTGAGAGGAGTTGGGGGGCAATGTGACCACGGTGGCGGAAATTGGAAGATACAGCCAAGGAGGTCACAGAAGGCCTGTAGCCACCAGGAGCTGGAAAGGGTGAGGACAGATTCCCCCTAGAGAACCTGCACGTCGTGCTGACACCTTGATTTCAGACTTCTGAGCTCCAGAACTGTGGGAGAATAAATTTGCGCTGTGTTTGTTGCACCACGGTTTGTTAACGGCAGCCACAGGAAATGACTGCACTTTTGGTTGGGCATAGAGGACTTGTGGCCAATTTGTCCGGGGCTGTGTGTGTGCTGTGGCTGTGCATCCCTGCATTCCACCTTGACTGCCAGCCCCGGGTGTGTACAACAGCACAGCAAATATTTGCAAGGCGTGGAGCCTGGCTGGGAGGGCCAGGCAGGGCCCAGAGACCTGGAGCCCTTCAGATTCACTGGCCCCTGGAAATTTTCTGGAAATAATGCTTCTGGGACATTTGGAAACCCTTAGGGATTACCAGGGACCACCAGGGAATAGGGAGGGAAAGGATGGTTTTTCTGCTTCCTGCAAACTGGTCCTTTTCCAGAGTGTGGTTCGCGTGAAGGGCCAGCCCCGCTGCCGCAGCCCCAAGGGGTCCTGAAGGGCACTGAAGGGGTGTGGGGTGCCTGCCACTCCTACTTCTGTCAGCCGCAGCTCAGCTCCCGGCTCAGCGTTCAGGCTGCTTTCATGGCTCTCTGCTTCGTTTCCTGCCCTGCTTGCCTTCCCTTCTCCGTCCAAACTGGCCCTGTGATCTCCAGCGCTTCCAGCCCCTGGGCGGCAGCCAGCTCCACTTTCCTTGAATGACTGGCAAAAATAGCAGGGCCAGGCAGGAATCCTCATCAGACAGGGAACGGGCTATTTGCACAGTTCCCGAAATACTGAGTGATTTCCACAGATTACTTGTAAGTTACAACGGGAAAAATGTTAACTTCACAGTGGAGAATCCTACCTTAACTAGAAGTTAGCATCACTGATCATGAGTCAAATTGACCTGATGTGCTTCCTGCTAAGATGGCACCTCCCTTTTGGGGTGTTCCTGCTCCCCCCCAAAACAGCAAATTCAAGTTGAAGACTATTTTATAAATGTAAATGTAGTATGCCTCAAAAGACAGAGGAAGAGTGAGGAAAGAGGCAAAAGTGACATAACCAAATGCAACACACAGATTAGAAGGAAGAACCAGCCATAAATGTAGCCCGGGCCCAAGGGTGCAGGAGCACTGGCTCTGGGGCCCCAAACAGACTGGGTTTGGCCTCTCCCTGCTGACAGAAACTAAAGACAGGGAGATGAATGGTAGTGAAACAAGAAGGATTTATTTCAGCGAGGCCGACACCGGGAAGACAGCAGACTAACGTCTCAAGACCGTCTCCAAAGTGCCGAAAATACTTCTAGGTTTCCTCAAGGAAAATGTGGGACGAAGGTCGGAGGGCGCCTGCAGGTGGGCAGTAAAGGTCAGGTCATCATTGTCTTGGGGTCAGTCACAGGTGGGGTCTTCCTGGCTCAGGGCCGTCATTGCTCGAGCCGGTAGTTTCGGTTTCCCAGGGGATGCTTTGGCTGCAGGCTCTTTTGCCGGAGTTCAGAGATAAGCTGGAAAGAAGAACTTAATCAATTACAAGGTACAGACTGAGGTTAAAAGGGAGGTGGTTGAAATTCTCTTTCAAAAAAGACAAAATTGGGAAGATTCAAAAATGTGAATATGGACTGTATATTACATAAATTCGATAAATTTCCTTCACTGGATCATTGTATAAGAGAATGTCCTTGTTTTTAGGAGATAACTATGAAGTAAAAAGGAACATAAGATACAATGTCCAGGGCGCCTGGGTGGCTCAGCGGGTTAAGCATCAGCCTTCGGCTCAGGTCATGATCCCAGGGTCCTGGGATTGAGCCCCACGTCGGGCTGCCTGTTCAGCAGGAACCCTGCTTCTCCCTCTCCCTCTGCCATTCCATCCCCCCACCCACTTGTGCTCTCTGGCTCTTTCTTTCTGTCAAATAAATGAATAGTCTTAAAAAAAGGCGGGGGGGCGCCTGGGTGGCTCAGTTGGTTAAGGGACTGCCTTTGGCTCAGGTCATGATCCTGGAGTTCCAGGATCAAGTCCCGCATCGCGCTCCCTGCTCAGCAGGGGTCTGCTTCTCCCTCTGGCCCTCCCCCCTCTCATGCTCTCGTTCTCTCTCAAATAAATAAATATAATCTTTAAAAACAAAGACACAATGCCTGTAATTTATTATCAAAAGGGTCAAAAACAATAACAATGATAATTTTATATAGACAGATATCAAACAAATGTAGCAAATGTTAACAATGGGTGCATCAACAGTTGGACACTTGGTAAACAATATATATACTGGAGTTAATTGTACTATTCTCACCAATTTTTTCTCTGTTTAAAATTTTTCAAAATAAAGTTAAAAAAAAACCAATAGGGTTTTTTGTCTGTTAGTTACAGAGCGGTAGAACAAAGTGAACTGATGATTCTTAAGGGAAACCCTGTCCCATCATTCAATTCAATCCATCTCAACAAACATTCTAAGGCCTCTTATGGGCCCAGAATAGTGCTGGGTGCTGCAGAGAATATGTAGCAAGTACAATATACCCCGTTCCTATCTGCTGAGGGTGAGGGAGGAGAACCAGACAAATACACAGAGAACAAGAACGCAAAGTAGAACAGGAAGAGTTTCTTAAGAAAATTGTAAAGCGGGGCACAAGTCACAAGAGTCACAGAGATGAGACACTTCCCAGCGGAACTGGTGTTTGCAGCGTGTTCGGAGGTTGGCTGAATTTTCACAGCAGAGCTGGGTTGAGGTCAATGCAGGTGGAAGAGTGTGTACGAGCAAAGGATCAGACGTGGAGACCTGGGCACAGCGAGTGGTGAGCAAGTCTTCATTGTTGTGAGTGCTTCTGTTGAGTACGTGTGGGAAAGGTGGCACCATGGTCTTAGGCTGAGAGGCTAGGGCCTGAGGATTAAACTGACAAACAACAGGTTAACAGGAGAAAAGGTTTATTATTGCCCAGGCACACAGGACCAACAAAGGAAGTAGCTGGCTTCTTAAATGGTTGAAGTTAAAGGCTTATATTCTTCTTCTTTTTTTTAGTTTCAAGTTTTTATTTAAATTTTAGTTAACATATGGTGTAATAATAATCGCAGGAGCAGAATTTAGTGATTCATCATTTACGTACAACACCCCGTGCTCAACACAGTAAGTGCCCTCCTTAATACCCATCCCCCACTTAACCAATCCCCCCATCCACCTTCCCTCCAGCCACCCTCAGTTTGTTCTCTATAATTAAGAGTCTCTTATGAAAAAAAAAGTCTCTTATAGTATGCCTCCCTTTCCTTTTTTTTAAATTTATTTTTTATCTTTCCCCTATGTTCATTTGTTTCTTAAATTCCACATAGGAGTGAAATCATACGGTGTTTGTCTTTCTCTAACTTATTTCACTTAGCATAATATACCCTAGTTCCATCCACGTCATTGCAAATGGCAAGCTTTCATTCTTTCTGATGGCTGAGTAATATTCCTGTGTGTGTGTGTGTGTGTGTGTGTGTGTGTGTGTGTGTGTGTGTGTATTACATCTTCTTTATTCATTCATCTGTAGATGGACATCTGGGTTCTTTCCATATTGTTGATAATACTGCTATAAACTTGGGGTGCATATAATCCCTTTGAATTTTTGTATCCTTTGGATAAATACCTAGTAGTGCAGTTACTGGATTGTAGGGTAGCTCTATTTTTAACTTTCTGAGGAACCTCCATACTGTTTTCCAGAGGGGTTGCCCCAGTTTGCATTCTCACCAACATTGTAAGAGGGTTCCCCTTTCTCCACATCCTTGCAACACCTGTTGTTTCTTGTGTTGTTAATTTTAGCCATTCTGACTGGTAAGAGGTGGTATCTCCTCATGATTTTGGTTTATATTTCCCTCCTGATGAGTGATGCTGAGCATCTTTTCATGTGTCTGTTGGCCATCTGTACATCTTCTTTGGAAAAATGTCTATTTGTGTCTTCTGCCCAATTCTTAACTGGATTATTTGTTTTTTGGATTTGAGTTTGATGGGTTCTTTATAGATTTTGGACATTAACCCTTTATCAGATATATCATTTGCAAATATCTTCTCCCGTTCCATAGGTTGAAAGGCTTATATTCTTATTTTCTTTTGTTGTTGTTGTTGTTGTTGTTTTTAATTTATTTATTTGACACAGAGAGATACAGCGAGAGAGGGAACACAGCAGGGGGAGGGGGAGAGGGAGAAGCAGGCTTCCCACTGAGCAGGGAGCCCGATGGAGGGCTCGATCCCAGGACCCTGGGATCATGACCTGAGCTGAAGGCAGATGCTTAACGACTGAGCCACCCAGGCGCCCAGGCGCCCCTGTTGTTGTTGTTTTGTTTTCTTCCAAGCCCTTGTGATGAGGGCCAACTTTGAATAGATCACAGCGAGGGAGCTGCTCCTGCTACCTAGGAAACCCCGACCCAGAAGCAGGTAGTCTATGAATGGTTTAGCACCAGGTTCCCCACAAATGTGCATGGTGCTGCGTGACGGGTGAGGGGGCAGCCCCTGAAAGGCTTATATTCTTTTTTTGTTTTAAGGTTTTATTTGAGAGAGAGAGAGAGCACGCACATGAGCAGGGGGGAAGGGGACGGGCAGAGGGAGAAGCCGACTTCCCGCTGAGCGGGGAGCCCCATGTGGGGCTCGATCCGGGCCGGGATCATGACCTGAGCCAAAGGCAGAGAGGCTTAAACAACTGCGCCACCCGGGTGCCCCGAAAGGCTTATATTCTTAACTTCATTGGGGAAAGGGGGAGGATTTGGGTTTCTAGGGACAGCAAAGTGTGTTAAGTTAAATATACATAGGAAACTAATGGAAGATAAGGGTGATTGAGGAAGGTTTGTTATGCAGATTGAACTGATGATAAAGTGGTGAGTTCTCTCCAAGTTCTCTTTCTGGTAAGAGGGGGTAGCGCCTTTACAAATAGAAATTTCCTTTGCAAAAGGAAAATTTATGCTTTGTTTCCTGCAGAAAGAGGACAAAGAACTTGTGTTTTCTGTTTCTTTGCTTTTTTTTTTTTCCTTCAAGTTTTCTGTTTCTTAATTGCCTTCAACTCAAAATAATCCTTAAGCCACAGTGGTAGATTTTGAGGTGGCGTTTCCTGATCTCCTTCACATGTAATGGAATGCCAGGCTCCACATTAAAATATAAGCCCAATAAGGACCGTAGGGACCGATTTGTTCATTGCTGTGTCCTCAGCACCTAGTGCCTGGTGGAAGACATTAGTCAATGCGCTTGAATCCCCCAGATCCTGTGGGGAAGTAGCATATCCTTCCAAAAACCTGATTTTGCCCTGGAAAAGGGACGGAGGAGGGTGGCAAGAAGCTGGTAGTCTCTGTAGCCTCTTTAACCAGGGAAGGAAAACCAAAGCCACAGGTGAAAATGGCCCTCTTGAGTTGGGTCACAGGCCTGAGCAAGCCCTGTCCAAGAAGCAGGGTGCAGGACAAGTCACTAGCATCTCTGGGCACAGGAGGGCTGTACCCTGGAGCGCCTCCCACCGGGGTCCCTTCCCTTCCCTGGAGCTTCTTTCCTTTGAAAGTCAGAGACTTGCCTAAGAGTAGAGTCAGACCCCTGTAGCTAGATCCAACATACACCCCAAAGCACACAGCTTCTCTAATGTAACCTAAGACCCTCACCCTGGACCTCTGACTCAGTGGTCTTCAAATCTGGTAGGGGAGCAGAATTCACCCGGGAACTTTTTGAAAAATGAAGTGTAACAAAAACATACAGAAAAGTGCACACGTGAATAGAGTTTGATGAGTTTTCATGAAGTCAACAAACTGGGTAATTTCCAGGTCAGGACACAGAATATCACCGACTAGCCTCTCTCTAGTCCCCCTTGTGCCACCTCCTAGTCACTACTCCAGTTGCTGTCCCCCAATCCCCCACACCCTCCCCCCGGCCCCGTGGTCTGGGTGACCCTTCTCAGAGCTTCTGCTTCATATAATCCATGAGAGGCTTGGTGTCTAGTTTACAAAGCTGCACAGATGGTTTATATGCAGTGATAGGTTTGAAAACCACTCCTGGAAGTCACACAATCTTTTTTGTTGTAAGTGCAGCGAGAGGATGCTTTGCTGCCAGTCTTGAGCTCAGCACCCGTAGCTGTCTGGCTGGGTTTACCCACGGAGCAGGGGGCACTTCCTGCATCTAGGGTCTGCAGAGCATGTGGGTGGGAGCTCCTAGGCTCAGGAAGCCCGAATGGTTGGTTCCAGCCTGGGCATGTGGCCCTCGCTCCCTGGCAGGGGTTCCGTGAAGAGGTATTTTTGGAAGGTGCAGGAATTCTGCAGCCATTTGGAAAATGCCTGCTCATAGGCTAGGCTGGATTTTCATTTTAAAATGATGATGTGGCTGAGGGGCCTGACCTGGCCAGTTTTCCTGGATCTAGGGGTGGGGAAAGTGCGGAGGCATGCTCTTTTCTTTTCCTTTTCTTTAAATTGTATCACCATTTTCTTTCTGTCTCAAATCCCTCTATCCCACAAGGTTCAAGAGCATTGTGAGGTGTCGCCTGCCGCTCATTGGCCTTTTGATGCTATTTGCAGGTAAGTGTTTCATTTTGTCCTAAGTCAGCCAGGACTTGGGGGTCACTTTAGGTTGGGCAAAAGTTTAATTTAACCCTCAATTCCCCAACAAGGATCTTTGCCTCTGGAGCCCTCACCCTGTCTCTCTGCCCTCCCAGGCAGGACCCTGAGTGCCTTTCTTTTTTTTTTTAAAGATTTTATTTATTTATTTGAGAGAGAGAGACACAGTGAGAGAGGGAACACAAGCAGGGGGAGTGGGAGAGGGAGAAGCAGGCCTCCTGCCGAGCGGGGGGCCCCACGCGGGACTCGATCCCAGGACCCCGGGATCATGACCCGAGCCGAAGGCAGACGCCCAACGACTGACCCACCCAGGCGCCCCCTGAGTGCCTTTCTCTTCCCCACATCCCTCTCTGCTTTGCCTTGGTGGCCTTTATTGACAGCTGCAGCTTTTGCCATTTTTCTATTCATTCGCTCATCCATTCATTTAACGCGTACTCGGCCCTGTGCTGGGGGCAGGACGGAGGGCTGGGCAGACACAACCACCTTCCGTCATCACCATTCCTGCCCTTACTCTTGAACCTGCCTTTGTCCCCACTTCTCCACTTCCCACACTTCCCCCACAGCCATGTGTGTGCTCTCTGAAAGATCCCTGCTCCTTCACTTGCACAGCAAAGGTAGCTTGTCTTTGCTATTTTGTTTCCAAGCCCCCTTGCTCCTGACTCTCATTTCCAGCTCCCTTGGGCTGGGACAGAGAATAAAAAGTAGGACCTGGCCTGATTCTCTTCCCCATTTCTGAGGGCCTCTCCCCACTTCCACCTCTGCCACCATCCTCAGTCCATGCCACATTCTGGAATGGCAATGCCATGAAGGGAGATCTGCTGCACCAAAAACCAAATCAAAGCCAACATACCCACAAAGTAAAAGTGATGGAGGGTTGTGTCACCTCCTTAGTTCTCCTCCAAGCCTGAACGTTCCTAGGTGTATTGACCAGACTTTCCTTCCAGGAGGGGAGATACTATATGGTCCTCACTCACCCTGGGCCAGGCCTTCCTGGGAGATGAATCCCCAGGTGGGAGCTGTGTGAGGCTGGCCTTAGGGGGCAGTGGCTTCCAGGCTGTCCCTGGGGTGTCAGCTACCACTTGTCCACATCTTCTCTTTTCTTGGGCTCGTGGGGGCTGCCTAGGCTGTTTGGAAGAAATAAGCTCTGAGTCCTTTGAATTGCCTCTTGATTGCTCAGGGGATGAAGCTGTTTGTGCCCTCAGGTGAGGTTATCTGAGCCTGAGCAGATCACCTGGAAGAGGTAAGGCTGAGAAGGGAAAATTCATACAGCATGTTCACACTATGTATAATATGTGGCTTATTAAATTACACAAAGCCACGTACACATCATGTGAACCAGAGGTTCATATAGGCTTGAACGGTGGGTTTTGCAGAAAAGAGGGTTTTTTTTTTTAATTCTGAATTTTTTTTTAATTTTTTTTAAGATTTTATTTATTTATTTGAGAGAGAGACAGATAGTGACAGAGATAGCAAGAGAGAGCACAAGCAGGGAGGAGAGGGAGAAGCAGGCTTCCCAGTGAGCCGGGAGCCCGACGCGGGGCTCGATCCCAGGACCCCGAGATCATGACCTGAGCAGAAGGCAGACGCTTAACCAACTGAGCCACGCAGGCGCTCCCTGAATTTATTTTAAATAGGTAAGCCAAGTACATGACACAAACTTCCACAAAGTGCCTGAGTATATAGATAGAGTGAAAAACAAGTCTCTTTCCCACTCCTGTCCCCAAGCTCTTCAGTTTTCCGTCCAGAAACAACCACTGCTGCAGTTTACTGTGCGTCCTTCCAGAGATCATTTCTGAAAATTACAAGCATGTGTGTGTGGGGGTGGGTGGGGGTGTGTCCCTAAAAAAATGCAAATGGGCATATTATATACACTGTTTTTAACTTTGTTCTTTTCACTTAAGAGTATATTTTGGAGTCTTTTTTCTTAACATATACTGTGTGAGTTGGGGGCAGATTTAGAAAGCAGAAAAAACTTTTCCCAAATGACTCTGAGCTTTGCTTCACTTCAAGCAGCTCCTTGCTTCTGGCTGCCTTTTACGTCGTGGGCCCTGGGCCACCTAAAGCTGTCCTGCTCTGAGAGACATCCTGCCATGTGACAGGCATGGAGCCCACCTCCCTGCCAGATTCCACGGAAGCGATTTGTGTCCTCTATTCTTCCTGGATCCCCCAGATCTGGAATTTGTTCTCATAGCTTACTAGGTGAGATACAAGCACCAGCCCCTCACCTGGCTACTCAGTTGTTGTTTTTTCAGGCCTTGTAGTTGGGTGAAGTATTTTGGGGGCAGTAAGAGGGGCATCTCAGTTGCAATTCTGTTTTGTGGAGGAGCGGGGGCTGGCAGGTGGCTTCAGGTCAGGGTGAGCACTTTTCCTGAAGGGGTCTGGAATGCAGGAAGTGGAATGGGACATAGCCCTTAATGTTTAAAAGACTGGTTAAATGACTTTGGGGGCAGCCCTCGGGTCTTTCTATAATTACTTTGTAGAGCCATCTCCTTCCTTCCCTTATCTCTTGCTCTAGGCCTGCTGATATTGCTCATTTTCTTTTGATGAGCTTTGTAATCTTAGTGGTCCATTTCTTCTGCCCCAAAGTGCCTTGGGTCAAATCAGATCATCTTCTTCATTTGATTTAGACATTCTAAAGAGAAATATCATGGTGGATATTTGTTTAAATTTCCTCAGATCAAATTGCTTACAAGATTTTGCTAACTGAATAGAGAAAAACAAAGTTAGATATACTGATCCCTTGTTCTTGGAGAGGCAGCAGAGTCAGGGGCTTTCAGAGGTTTGTTATCTCATTTTATTTTTTGAAAAAGTAATAGCTTTGGGGCACCTGGCTGGCTCAGCTGGTGGAGCATGCAACTCTGGATCTAGGGGTTGTGAGTTCGAGCCCCATGCTGAGTGTAGAGATTACTTAAAAATAAAATCTTAAAAAAAAGTAACAGCTTTACTGAGATATAATTCACATGCCATACAAGTCCTCTAAAGTACACAATCCAGTGGTTTTTAATATATGCACAAAATTGTGTAACCATCACACAATTTTAGGACATTTTCATCAATCACCCCTAAAGGAAACCCCATGCCCATTAGCCGTCACTTCCCGTTTTCCCCAATCCCCTCAGCCCAAGGCACTTACTAATCTACTTGCTATCTCTATGGATTTGCCTATTTCAAACATTTTATATAAATGGACTTATACTATATGGGGTCTTTTGTGACTTTTCTTTCACAGTGTAGTATTTTCAATATTATAATCCACATTGTAGCAGTATCAGAAATTCATTCCTTTTTTATGGTTAATATTTCATCCTATGGATATACCAAATTTTGTTTATTAATCAGTTGATGGACATCTGGGTTTTCACTTTATTGGCTATTATGAATAATGTTGCTGTGAGCATTCAGGTACAAGTTTTTGTGTGGACCTCACTTGAACACTACAGCAACTCTCTAAGATACATATTTTACAGATCTCATTCTGTAGCTAACAAAACATTCCGATGTGGTTGACAGGAATTTTGAATCTTTATTAGATTCCTGAACCCATGCTTTTTGCAATCTCTCTTTTGTCTGTCAAGAAGAGGAGGTAAAGCAATCAAAGCATTTCTTTGAAGGAGACATGGAGTCCACTGAAATTCAAAGTGTGCTCTGAATTTCAAGGGTGCAGAAGATCAGGCAAGAGCCACAAGGTTACATAATTCCTTTTAAAGCAATTATGATTGCTGCTAGCTGAGTTTATTTTTTTATTTTTTTTTAAAGGATTTTATTTTTATTTACTTGAGAGAGAGAGAATGGGAGAGAGCACGAGAGGGAAGAGGGTCAGAGGGAGAAGCAGACTCCCCGCTGAGCAGGGAGCCCGATGCGGGACTCGATCCCAGGACTCCAGGATCATGACCTGAGCCGAAGGCAGTCGCCTAACCAACTGAGCCACCCAGGCGCCCGCTAGCTCAGTTTAAACTTACTAATACATGACTCACCAGCTGTCAGGTGTTAACATCTTCCATTTCACTGCAAAGTAGAAGGTTAAGTGGAGGAGACGGTGGAGTTGAAACTAACAAGCTGCAACTGACGAAGTCGAAAGTTTGAGGTGTTCCTGGACTTGAACTAGGCCCTACTTCCCCAGTGTGCTCTCGACTCTAGAGTGACTCTGTGACAATGCTCACTTAATTTTAAATCTTCTTTCACAGTTCACAGAACTGATGATTGCTTTGACAGAACCTGGTGTGGATATGTCAGTAGGAAGGAATCATAAACATCAACTGTTAATTTTCAGTTGGGAAATTTCAGCCCTCTCCCCAATGTCTCTCTTCCCTTCGCCTTTTCTCCAATCCGTTTTCACTTCTTTCTCTCAAGTATCAGTTCCCCGCCCCTACGGTCCCCGCCTCTATGGTTGGGACAGAATCTCCTATCACTCACTCACTTTTTTTTTTTTAAGATTTTTAAAATTTATTTGTCAGAGAGAGAGCACAAGCAGGGGGAGCAGCAGGCAGAGGGAAGAGAGAGAAGCAGGCTCCCCGCGGAGCAGGGAGCCCAACGCGGGACCCGATCCCAAGATCCTGGGATCATGACCTGAGCCGCAGGCAGACGCTCAACCGACTGAGCCACCCAAGCGCCCCTCGCTCACGCTTCTGTGTGGAATGCAATATTGTGTGAATTTGCTATCTGTTCTTGAGTTCTCGCCAATGAGATGAAAGCTCCTCCTCCAGCAGGGGCCAGAGAGGTGGTATTCGAAGCAGCGGACATGTAGAAAGAGACCTTCTTGGAAAAAGCTCCTTTTCCTGGAGCTTGCCAGGGTTTCATGGATGAAGGCCGCTCACGTAGGGGTTGGGGCGGCGTGGACCGCACCCCAGCCCAGTTTCCCCCCGGCTAGGTCAAACGCGCCGTCGCTAGGGCAACGACCAGTCCAGGCAGGTGGCAGCTCCGGAGCCCTCGTGGGGAGCGCGCGGGCGCCCGGACGCCAGCCCGGCCGCGACGTCAGACCCATCCCGCCCTTTAACGCCTGCTGGACCCGGCGCTACTCCGAACACCGCCCCCCGCGAGCGGTAGCTAGCGAAAACCACCAATCAGAGGAGCCGACACATCGCCCGGGGCGGGCGTGCAGCAACCAATCGCTGCTTACGTGTGATCCCAGGCCCGCCTGCGAGGCTGGCGGCCGGCGCTGAAGCGGCGACGGCGGGAGTCGCTGCTGAGGCAGCCGCGGGCGCGGGTCGCTTCGGCGCTGCTCCGCGGGGCCGGGCCGGGCTGGCTGCAGCTGGCGCCTGGCGGTGAGGGCGGGCTCCCGGGACAGGCGGAATGGCCCCCACCTAGGGCAGTGGAAGAAGCGGCTGAGCTCAGGATGCTGAGGAGGCGGCGCGGCGGCTCCTCACTCATCCCAGGTAAGGGGGACGCCGCGCTCGCTGTGGCTCGGCTCGGAGCGCCGCCCCGGCCCCGCCGCCTTCCAGTCGCCGCCCACCTGGCTCCGGGCCCCGGGCCGGCTCTGCCCTGGCATCCCTTGGCCCAGCGTCCCCTCCTGCCCCCACATCTCCCCATCTGCCCCGGGGCAGTTGCCCAGCCCCGCCCCCCTAGCGCGGCGTCCCTCGCCCTGGCGGGCCGGCTGCTGCACCCACGCCCGCTCCCCTTCCCCCAGCGCCTGCGTTTCCCGGTCTCCGCTGCGCCGTCACCCCGCTAGTCCTCGCCGTGGTCGGCCCCCCGCCCCCTCCCGTCTCATCTTTGCTCCCTTCCCTCTCCTCTCCGTCCCCTCCCCTTTCGCGGCGCTGGCACCGTTTCCCAGCCTCTGCAGTCCTTCGGGGCGCCTTCCGGGGATGAACCCCCCCCCCGCAGCTCATCCCGTCGGGATCAGATCAGACTTTTGCCCTCACTTAAACCTGGGCTTCTCTTCCGCAGAATCACCCTCATCCCTGCCCTTTAATTACATATTCTCTGTACCTTTCAGTCGCCCCCCCAACCCCCATGTCCCTTGGGTTTTGCCCTTTTGCTCCCAGATGCCTTCCTCTACCACCTCGCCTCTTCTCCCCTCACTTTCATCAACCACTTCTTTTCCTTTACACTTAAACCTTCAGACACTCTAATACTCTCCTGAATACCAGATCTATAGTTTTAACGTAATTCGTCTTTCAGTGAGCTGCACCGCTAACATGTAAAGCGCCTTGCTCAGAACCTGGCACACAGTAGGCCTGCCACACAGTGGGTGCTTATGCGTGTTAGTCTCTTCCTCCTTCCAGGTCTTTGTACTTTCCAGATGGTGGTAGCAAGAGGTCCAGTATCCAGAGGGATTGGACCCACTGTTGGAAGAGTGGTATGGGAGATGGCAGGACAAATTATTGAACTCCCAAGTGTGAGAAAGAGATTAAATTGTCAATTTTTACCCACTACATTTATTCAGGAAAAAAGTGAATTTTGCTATTTTTGTATCAAATATTGTTTTATGTTAATTGGCTTTGTAAAGGATTCTTAGGGAACCTCACAATGTAATTATTCCCTTATCACCCCCCCTTCAAACTAATAACATTGTATGTAAGAAGTGTTTTACTTGTTTATCTCTCAGCTGGATAGTCCAATTCTGCAGTGAATTTTCATCCTATAAGAGCCTAGGGGAATCGGGTTTAGAATTCTTGGAATCAGATGCTAGAGGGATCAAAAATGCTTAGGAGTAAAAGTCCTAACAAGTTCTGTAAGAGTGAGAGAGTAATTATCTCTCCCTTTCCCCAACACTTTCTGGCAATCAGAGGAAGTAGCTACATTTTTTTTTTTAAAGTGAAATAAGTTTGACTTTTCAAAATTATAAAAACAATGTTACTGGCCTCAGCCCATTCTTGCCACATTTGCTTTAATGGTCTACAAGCCAGGATGAATCAAACAGTTGCTTTTTCTTCTCCTAGGCTCTCCAGAGCAGACTGGAGAAAATCATGTAAGTGAGCTGCTGGTGCTGTTCTAGAGTTCTGGATTCTGACTTTATTCATACTGGCTGGAGATCCTTCGATTTACCCCATAGGATATTCTTATGTACTAAAACCTGACTGGCTTTTTATAGATTCTTACTGTTCTCCTCTCTTTGTATTTCTTCATTGCTTATTTTGCAATAAGCAGAAAATTCACAGAAGAGGGGCACCTGGGTGGCTCAGTCGTTAAGCGTCTGCCTTCGGCTCAGGTCACGATCCCGGGGGCCTGGGATCGAGCCCTGCATCGGGCTCCCTGCTCTGCGGGGAGCCTGCTTCTCCCTCCCCCACTCCCCCTGCTTGTGTTCCCTCTCTCGCTGTGTCTCTCTCTGTCAAATAAATAAAATCTTAAAAAAGAAAAGAAAATTCACAGAAGAAATTGGTGGACTTTAGCCCTAAACTAGTAAGGGTCTATCATTTTTTTGTGTGTCTATGCCTGATTTCTGATCTCCTTTCCTTTACCAGAGGAAAAAAGGCCCTTCTTTCTAAGGCTAACATCTTTGATCTCCTCTATGTTCTCATTTTTTTCTCCTCCTGTGTGTATGGTCAGGTTTATACCTTCTAAAACAAAAACAAAAACCTTCTCTTGATGCTTCCCTCTTTTTTCATTTTCTCTGATTAGTGTGGTCTTCCTTAGATTTTCAGTTTTTGCTCTTTTCTCTGTTCTCTAATTTCCTTGTGTGATTACACTTCTATCATGGCTTCGAATAGCACCTGTATACTTAGGGTTGTCAGAGATGTGTATTCAGTCCCCATTTTTCTTGAGTTTCAAGTGTTCTTTATTTTCATCTATCTTTTGGATAACTAAACTTGGATACTGAGTACTCCAAACTTGGTTATCTTTTTCTTTCCCTTCCCTCTACTCACATAGCCCCCTCAAGCAGTATAAATACTCATTTTCCTATTTTAGGCCTCACCCTAGAAACGTTAGAATCCTCTTCTCTCCTCACAGTTAAGTCTGTCATTGCTCATGTTGTGTCTACCTGAAATCTTTTTCTTTCTCTCCTCACCGCCAGAAGATTGGTTGAGGCCTGGGTTATGTTTTTCCCAAACAGATGGTCATTTCCAATCCAAGCACTACTTCATTCATTCATTCATTTACGCAGGCACTACTTTAAAACCACCTGGGGAGCTTTTAAAGGTTAAGGATGAGGGGATGAAGGCTTTCACAGGGATTCTGATTCAGTTGGTTTGGTGTAGGGCCAGACCTTGTCATTTAAAAAATGCTTCCCTGGGCACCTGGGTGGCTCATTCGGTTAAGTGTCTGCCTTCAGCTCAGGTCATGATCTCGGGGGTCCTGGGATCGAGCTCCACATCAGGCTCCCATCCCACTCAGTGGGGAGTCTCCTCCTTTCCACCCCCTCTGCTCGTGCTCTCTCAAATAAATAAATAAAATCTTAAAAAAAAATTAAAAACATGCTTCCCATGTGACGGTAATATGCAGCTAGGGCTGAGAACTGGACTGAGAGCTTGAGGAGGGACTGATAGAACCCTGAGGAATTACAGTATTTAACTCATCATTTAAAAATTAGGATAAATGTCATTTTTGTTGGCATGGTTAGTTGCTTACTTTCCTGGCACTTGGTATATGTATCTGTTAAAGTACATACCATTTCATTTAAATTATTTCTCATGGGCCCATTTTTGTCACGACTAGGAATTCCTTGACGTCTAGGACCGTGCCTGCTGTTTCTTCTGCACAACTCATGACCCTTCTGACAGCAAATTATGTGGGCTTTCCCCTTACAGTTCTCCAACTGTCCAGACACCTATTGGGTGTCCTACAATTTAACCCAGTTATGACACTACCTACCTGGAGTTAGTGCAGACCACACAGATGAAGAACTTAGCCCCCACCCACCTCCTCCACACCCCACTGCTATGCCATTTGCAAGTCCCAGGTTGTGACATGTACTTTTGACCAACTGGCTATAAACTGGGGCTTCCCACAACCCCCTCCTCAGGTCAATAATTTGCTGTAATGACTCACAGAACTCGGGAAAGCTCTTAACCACTACCTGCTTATTATAAAGGGTATAACGCAGGAACAGCAAATGGAAGAGATGCCTAGGGCAAAGTATGTGGGAAGGGGCATGGAGCTTCCATGAGCTTTCCCTGGGGGCACCATCCTCCCGGCACCTCCATGTGTTCACCAACCCAGAAGCTCTCTGAATCCCTTCAGTTAGGATTTTTATGTAGGCGTAATCATCGGTTGTTGGTGATAAACTCAATCTGCAACCCTTTTCCCCCATCCTGAGGTCAGGGGTTGGTTCTTCTGACAACCAGCCCCCATCCTCCAAGATATGGTTGAAAGGGGCTTATTATGAGTAACAAAAGATGCTCCTCTCACCCCATCAAGAAATTCCAAGGGTTTTAGGAGCTCTGTGTCAGGAGCCAGGGATGAAGACCTAGCACATTCTGTAATAATTCTTATATCACAGTATTGTAATACCTTATTTATCTTTTTGTCACTGCCTTGTACAGTACTTTGTATATTTTAAAAACGTGATAAAAATTAGTTGAATGGATCAGTTGGTAAATAATGTAAAACAGATCTTGAATTCACGGTTTTGCAAGATGACCATCTGTTTCTTTCTTGACTGATTAACAGGTCACTAGTCATACTTGCATAGTCATTCTTGTTTAAAAAAACACACACTCGTAATAAATTAGAGTGGATTAAGATAAATATTTGCTCTTATGATTTGGCTTTTAACCTGGCTAAGCTAGTACATGATTATAGAGGTTCATTCAGGCTTCCTCTTTAGTGGATGCTATTTAAAATAGACTTTATGGATGGTTGAAACATAGGTATCTTCCATCTTTTGTAAACAAATAGCTCTGATTTTAGGCTTATAAGCTTTGGGATTTTCAAGTAGAACAAAAACTGTAAAATTGATAAAAGATCTTGAACAATGGAAGAACTATTTCTTTTTAAGAGAATTAAGAAAGCAGGGAATATGCATTAAGCTATCTACATACAGGAGTCTCATTGGCATTGGTGTTGGTGAGGGGGGAATCTGTAATTCCCAAATATTTGATTACTGTTATAAGAAAAATCTCATATAATGGTACCGTATATTTTGTAATAAGTTAGAACTAAGATATAAACTATAGAGTTGTCTTCTTTTGTTCTTTAGTTTTCTTAAGGTTTTTGTCAGCTCTTTCTCTTTATAGAATTTGTGGTTGACGGTTCCTTACTTTTAGCATTTGAAAATGGTTTACTACCTTCTTCAGACCTCTATGATTTTAGGTGAGGAATCCTCTGTCATTGGAATTTATGTTTCTCTATAGGTGATGTATCCTTTCTCCTTGGCTGCTTTATTTTGTTTTATTTTATTGATTTTTTAAAAAGATTTTATTTATTTGACAGAGAGAGATAGCGAGAGCAGGAACACAAGCAGGGGGAGTGGGAGAGGGAGAAGTAGGCTTCCCGCTGA